GAAGGCCAACGCAATCTTGAGGAAAGATCATGTCATAGCGAGAACCTGGGAAGCTCTGTAAGAAATGAAGTTGATCTTGGTGAAGGAGCCAAACAGTCACGGTGTTCGGGTCATACTGAGCAACATGGAAATGAAGAGGTCGTTCTGGCTGAAGAACAAAAGGATCCACATCGGGGTCTCGCCGGTGTGATACCGGCAGATTCCAACCACGCGGACTGAAGTTGGTCAAACTGACTGCTCTGTGTGCAGTTCCAAGTCGTCGCATGCTAGCTGTTTGACCTTGACCTGTAGTCAACAAGTTGTTCTTCAAGTCGATCGTGGCCTCGATGTGTTCCAAGAAGCTGACTGGAAGAAGTGGCGGAGTCTGAAACTGGTCATCATCTTGCAACACGGTGAACCGCAAAACCGCGTTCACCTGGGCGACTCCAACAGGCACTTCCAGCTGCTTCACAACTTTGGCCTCTCCGCCAACTCCTCCAGCTGAAGGAAGTGGCGAGTTTCCCTGCACAGGGATGCACTTCAAGTTCCTCTGCCTCAGGCTCTTCTCCAGCTCTTGTAGTGCCGTAGTGCCGATCACAGCCTCTTCAGCGGCGGTGTCAACAAGGGCCTCATCTGCATAGCACTGAACACCAGCAAAGATCGTCAGCCGGCGTGGCGGACTGCTTGAAGAAGAACCCATGGCCATCATGAACTGCATTGCAGGTACTCCAGGGGCTGTTTGTCCTCCAGTGTGAACCACAAACTGCTGTCTTGGAGGGCTGCTGCTGGCATCAGCTCGTTGAGACAAAGGGCAATTCTTAGCGAAGTGTCCAAGCTCATTGCAGTTCCAGCAGCGTGTCCTGCTCTCCAAGTCTTCTTCATTCCCTTTCCATGAGCGACTGGATGACTGTTTCCTCTTGGACTTTCCTTTGCCTCGACCCTTGACAAAAGGTCGTCGGACTCCTTTCTTGCCTCCTTTGGAACGACCAGGATCTCGACCATGTTTCACATAGCCTCTTTCTGTTTTGCGCTTCTGCAACTCACGTCGGGCGTCACGGTAGGCCAAATGATAAGCCTTGAGCTCAATGGCCTCCGTCTCCTGGTACTCACGATCCTCCATGTAGAACAGGCAGTTCCCATTCTCATCACAAGAGGCGGACTCATCGCCATCTTCATGTGGCCAACTCTCAAGATCCATAGGATCACCTTCCGTCTCATTGTCCTCCTCGTTCTCAGGGTTGTCCGGGTAGTAGTCCTGATAGTAGTCGGACGTGATCATGTAGTTCCTTGAGCTGGAGGGCTCTTGAGCTCTGGCCAACATCTCTGGTCGGTCAAGAGGTCGCAGAAGGTTGGCGATCTCATCAAATGGACGAAGCATGGGACCTCTCAACAGGAGCATCTCTCTCTGTAGGTCGTTCAAGTTGGCATGCTTCAAGAGGATCCGGCCACATAGTCGGTCATTGATGACCTCCCCAAGCTGCAGTTCCATTTCTTGCTTGGCCAGTGTCTTGGCCGCGATGTAGGAAGTGAAGCTTTCACCTTTCTGTCTCTCTCCATCGAACAGGAACTTGTCGATCGCCTGAGGTGCAGTGGCTTCCAAGAACGGAGCGTACTTCTGGTGAAGGGCACCCAAGATCGCTCCATAGCCATTGGCTGAGAGCAGCACCTCAGTTGGAATCGTGTCAGCGATTCTCCTTGGCTGGGAACCTTCAGGAAAGGACTGTAGCAACTTAATGCCTCTCTTCTCAACCGGGACATTTGATTCATACTCCCATAGTGCAATGAGCTTCAGCCATGATCTCAAAGTCGATGGTGAACCATTCCATGAAGGCAGCGTCTTGCGCTCTCCAGCTAGGGCCTGATTCAAGGCACTTGCGATCAACTGCTCAGGGGTCTGTGCACTTGTAGGCACAGCTGCATTCGTTGGGGCTGACTTACCCAACATGGAAAAAGCGCTCGTCGGCGAAGTCGTCGAAGCGTCATTGGGCTGGGCACCTTGGCTACCTAAGGCACTTGCAAAGGCCGCAGCGGAGAACTGTGGTGCATGCTGTGGTGCACCTCCGGGTGAACTCTGGGGTTGTGGCTGCTGCTGCATCTGCGGCATCGTCTGTGACGTTCCAGCCGCTGCAGGCTGCATCTGCGGCATCGTCTGTGACGTTCCAGCCGCTGCAGTAGGGCTCGTAGGCCATGTCGTCGATGGCCAGGTCGTAGACCATGGAAACCTAGCAGCCGGGCCAGTGGGCACACTCCAACCAGGGTTCCTTAAGGAAGCATCGGCCGAGGGTGTCCACCTTGCCCATGGGTCTCCGCCCTTCATCCAAGGCACCGAAGGTCGTCAAGGTACCTGAAGGTCGTCTTGCAGGAACCAACCTGCTCCGCCTACCACTGTAAAAGGCAGGAGTTCGGGGAAACTTCCGGAATGCTAACAAGCAAACGGCATGGCTCTTTTCCAATGCGCACCCAAGTGACTCAAGGCCTGAACCCGATGGCAACAGTCGGATCTAAAGCATCTCATGAATGTTCACACCTTCATCATAGTAGTAGTAGTAGTAGTAGTAAGAAGCTACTAGTAACAAGGGCATCGCTACTCAGCTACTCGGGTGGAGGCTATCGCTATAAGGTTTTTTCTTCATCTCTTTTCTTGCTTTTTGGATGAATGAAGATCAACCCCCTCTCACCTCTCTGCCTGTCCCAAATTCCACTGGGGTCAGGGATGTCACGTTTAGGAGGTGCTCGGCGGTGCTCCAATCACCCATCCCTTTTGAACATTTTAACAAAACAATATAATTAACAAAATTCTAGCTTCTGAAAGCAACATTAAAACCGTCTATGTTTGGCATCAGTCGGCGATGTTTGCCAAGAAACGCGATCGTGCTCCAATCTATAAAATCTAAGAATCTAGTCAATCTAGTCTCAAAATTTCCCTTCACCAGTCTTGGCCACCAAACATCTGGGGGCCTTTACAAGCAGAATAGGAAACCAAGGAAATCATGGAAGCTTTCTTTGATCTTCTAGGTTGTTTTCTGCAAGAATAGGACCTGGAGTAGCTAAGAAACTGGTTCCCAGAAATGGGCGATCCCGAAGAAACTTGCGCGTTCACTGTTTTGAGCGTAGGTTCGCCACATTCTCAAGCCCGAAAGCATTTCCAACGTGCATTCCAATTGAACAACACTGTACTTGTGTTGAGCTGAATTTAAGGTTGGCATTGCAGATGAGCAAAACATATGAAAATAAATAGGACCGATGCTGTTGAGAAAAAATACTACAGTATATAAAAAAATAGAACGAAACACTGGAAGAAAATAGGGCCTGCTTATGGTCTCATGTTTGATCCTGCGTTTTTGCTATTTTTTGTTCTAGTTGAATATGTTAATCATGTTCTGACTTTTTCATCTGTTTGTCCTATTGTTTGATATTACTGTCGATGTGTTTGCTAAATGTGCAGATTGAACAAACAGTGTGCACATTTAGATAAAAACACATTGAAAAGCAATCGTTCTTTTTTGGTTCTATGATATGTGTGTTTCCTGTTATTGTTGTTCCTAGCTTTTCCTAGTTTGGATGCGATTTAGTTCCTAGTTTTTACTAATCTATATAACTGTATATTTTGATCACACCCAGTGGAAGCTTAACTTCCTCAACTATATACAACTCCTTCACCCAAACTCCGATCAGTTCAGCTGAGACTCCCAAAAGTCCTTGGCCAAGGCTTGTCCTCGGATCTGAACAGAACATGTCCCATCTGTCTGCGCAAACCAAAATCTGAGGCAGGAGGCAGCTCAATCTGCTGCAAGCCCATGAACGCTAATAGGAGCAAAGAGCAATGCTACTAGGAACAAGGACGCTACTAGGTCTCCTGGCCTTACTACTAGGAGCAAGAAGCTACTAGGAGCAAAGGGCAGCGCTACTAGGAACAAGGACGCGGCCCTCCTGCACTACCAAAGATCGCTTTTTTAAGCGAGAATCTCCACGAGGCCATGCGTGAGGGAAAGGTCAAGGCTGACTGGAGTTTTGCCTTGGCCATTTCGCAGGCTTCGCGAGAAGAAAGATTAAAGTTACTTAAAGTTGAATGTGAAATGGCACAGTCACAAAACGATCTGGAATAGTTCCGCAAGATTCACTGAAATACCGTCTAGAAGTACTCGAATAAAAGGGTAACCTACATTGCCTACATTGGTTAGTAAATTTGGCCTTTTCCAAGATCATCCGTCAAAGAACTATGGCTTTACTGGGTCACTCTGTGTTCAAAGGTGGACCTGTCGGGTGTCAAGTTGCATAGACATGGTCGCCACCTAGCACTGCGATCTTGACATATCCGGAGTTCCTGAATTGGAGCAATCACGAATCACGAGCACTAAGTCACTAGTGAGAAATAACGATATAATGCGATATATATAGTTACATGTAAAAGTAATAGTTGTAGCCACAGTCCACAGTTGTTTTCTCTGACTTGAATAGACATCACTATAGTATTTCCACTAGTTACTACTTCCCCTATGCCTTCCATGACTAGGTTTCAGGACACTGGGTGCTGGAAAGCGACAGAATAATGTTGTCCAAGTCATAGTAATTCTTTGCTTGGACCTGAGCTGCTGAGCGCTTTCTGGAATTACAAGGTTCTGAAACCAAAGAAGATAGATACTGAGTGCCACGCTTCCACATTTACAACCTGTACAAAACATGATCAGAACACTTCATAGCAAAGAGATTGTGTTTCAGCTGGTTGCTGCATCCGCAACTGTACAACGCGTTTTTGCTGAAGGCTGTACAATGCGAGCCTGAATATCGAATTCATCAAAAGGGAAATCTCGGAAGATCTCAACCTGCCATGTCAAGTTTCCCTAAACATCTTGAAACCAGATCATTAGTGTCAGCGCTTCTTCCAGGAAGCTTCCCCCGCCGCCCTGAGAGCTTCCTTGAAGAAGAGTGAGCTATCCTGCGTCCTAAGTAGCTACCTCTAGCTAACCTACCTCTACTCGGCCTAATACCCGCCACCCAATAAAACCGTTACCAAAAATCATCAAAACTCAAGAATGGGGACTTCATTTTGCATACCGTGACCACCTCTGCAGCTTCCGCGTCCACAGACCTTGAAGCATCAATTCTGTCCCGTTTGGCGCTCTTTCAGTAAGTAGTGTCCTTGCTCCTAGTAGCGAACCTTGTTCCTAGTAAGTCCTCCCTGGGCATTCGGGCAGAAAGTCCACCACGTTGGGCCGTGCGAGATTTTGAGATCGCAAGATCTCCTCCAGTGTCCGGCATTCCTTGCGGGATAGGTTGGCAGCAAGCTGGATGAGGCAGCTGGGATGATTTGGCCTAGTTGCCGCTGACAACTCGAAATCCAAATTAGTTGCAACACCCTGTTGCATGACGTCGCATGCCCAGCGGTGCCCTGCTTTTTCGCAGCCATGTTTTGGCCTGACCAGACCTTGCCCTTGCCGCAAGTTCTCAGATTTCACGGGTTCGCGGTTCGCTTAGCCAAGGGACGGCCACAAACTCAGGCCTTTTGCCACCGCCTGTGATTTTCACAGCACCACCTCAAGAAAGAAAGCAAGTTCGACAAACCCAAGCAAGGCAAAGTGCTTCTCATGCTGTGGATTGTCCAATGGCCAAGAGACTGGAACCCATATCTTGCACCCCATCTTCGGCCTCGTCCTCACGGATGTATGCCTGTGACTTCAAGCTTCGCTAAATTTTGGGTCAATATGGTTAATGTGGAACTATCATATCTACCATTTGACCTTTCTGTCTTCCTTTCACCACGAAAATTACTAGGTCCGGTTAGGACCTTCCCCACCTCGATCGGATCCTTCTGGAAGGACATGACCACCTGCAAGTGAACTCCTACACACAGAGAATCAGCAGCACACACGGGCCACTATGGTTCCAGGCCCGCCGCGGATGGCTCCAAACACCTTGGCATGGCACGTGAAGGTCTTATCACCGCACCTGTCTTAAGAAAACAACATATACAGCGTTTGAGAACATATTCGCACGAAACACAAGTTTAGAGTTGAGAAATGTTGCCTTGCTTTTGACACAGCTGCCAAGGGGCAATTCTTGACCAGCTCGCAAGAAGGCCTTGGGCACAGCAACTTAGTCACAAGTCTCCAGCAATTTCTAAAAGAACATCTTGGAATTCGGTGCAACGAGCAAAATGCAGCGAAAAAAGTTTAGCCAAGCCAAAAAAGACGTCATCGACACACAACCCGCATGCCAGCAGGTTGCCCAGCCTGTAAGCTTGGAAGTAGGAGTGCATCGATGGGTTGGGTTCGACGCATAGACCGCCTCAGTGGGGGATCTAGTCCATTAAGGGGACCCGGTAGAAGTACTGATGTGTTCTTGCAGCTGGCAACTTGCAAAACGACAACCAAGTGCATCGCTACTAGTAACAGGTGCCTTACTAGTAGTAACAAGAAGCTACTAGGAACAAGTGCCTGGCCTTACTACTACTAACAAGTGCATCTACATTATCCTACATCAAGAGACGAGTGTTTTTTATTAGTCTGACGATTGGCATTCCCGTGCTTTCAAGCTACGCCATCCCAAACAGCGCTCGAAGAAGTAGGTATTGGAGAGATGAATGGGATGGAAGGCACCCACATCCACAAACCTCAAGTGACAAATTTGGAGCCTGCGAAATCGTCTCCTTTTTTGAGCGGACTTCTTGTGGAGTTCTGCCCGTTGCGACGGATCGTCTCCGCAAGATCAATCAGTCCGGCTACTCATACTGAAATGAGTTGTATTGGAAGTCAGAGATGTATGTTACGTTACGTAATGTAATGTAGTGTAGTGTAATGTAATGTAATGTTATGTAATGTTACCTACCTACGTACGTACGTACGTACCGTACCATACCGTACCGTACCTTACCTTACCGTACCGTACCGTACGTAGGTAGGTAGGTAGGTAGGTAGGTAATTATGTATGTATGCATGCATGTATGTG